TATATATATATATATATATATATATATATATATATATATATATATATATATATATATATATATATATATATATATATATATATATATATATATATATATATATATATATATATATATATATATATATATATATATATATATATATATATATATATATATATATATATATATATATATATATATATATATATATATATATATATATATATATATATATATATATATATATATATATATATATATATATATATATATATATATATATATATATATATATATATATATATATATATATATATATATATATATATATATATATATATATATATATATATATATATATATATATATATATATATATATATATATATATATATATATATATATATATATATATATATATATATATATATATATATATATATATATATATATATATATATATATATATATATATATATATATATATATATATATATATATATATATATATATATATATATATATATATATATATATATATATATATATATATATATATATATATATATATATATATATATATATATATATATATATATATATATATATATATATATATATATATATATATATATATATATATATATATATATATATATATATATATATATATATATATATATATATATATATATATATATATATATATATATATATATATATATATATATATATATATATATATATATATATATATATATATATATATATATATATATATATATATATATATATATATATATATATATATATATATATATATATATATATATATATATATATATATATATATATATATATATATATATATATATATATATATATATATATATATATATATATATATATATATATATATATATATATATATATATATATATATATATATATATATATATATATATATATATATATATATATATATATATATATATATATATAATTCCATCTAGCCACCTAGAAGAACTTCTGCTTTTAATTATCAAAAGAACATTAGAAATTCACTGATTAACACATGCATATACTCTAGAATGTAAACCATAAATTTCACCAATAATCTATAAAACAAATAAATAAATATATAAACATATTCAAATTCCTAATTGTCTGATGCCTAGGCATTACAATTAAGTCATCACACATTCAAATACCAAAAATCATATTAACAAACAAGCTAATACTCCAACATAGTTTCCAACAACCACCAAAACTCAAAAATACAAAAAATTGTCTGAAACTCAAAAGTTTTTTGTTTTTTTTCCCCAAAAGATCAGAGGGTGTTACTATACTGTATCAGCTATTAACACTAGGACGGAGCTACTCAAGGTACATTAGTTATTTGGCATGTGTGAGAGTATCAGGCCCTAGACATTAGATACACGATGAACAATGTTTCTATTTATGATCTCTATCTTCCTTTCCTTTCTTTTATGTGTCTTCATTCATACATATATCTCACAACAGCTCATGAACTCTAGCTGACTTCTATTAGCTGGGGAACAAGTGCAATGGAATATACATGGTAACATTCTTTTAAAACCTCAGTGCATACAATGCATCATTTAGCACTAACAGGCACATCAGAGTCAGTGAAGCCCAAGTCCTCTGATAAAATTGTACAAACTAAACCATAACTTCTACTCTTTATTTTGGTCTGCACATCCTCATTACCTATTCCTGATATACTGGAGTAATTTCCTATCCCTGCTTTATAGGAAAGTGCTTATCACTCTAGAACATTTTCCCTGTGTTCTCTATCCAACCTCTGTCCATGATATAGTATGCTGCTTGCATAGTACATATTCAGTGCATTTCTTTCTGGTTTCAACACCATCAGCAATAATGAACAAAGATTTTTTCAAGAAAACTAAAGACCTGCTTTGTACAGAGTACCAAACTAAACAACTTGGCAAATAAGACAAAATTAATGTGAAACTGGTATTTTCCTCTCATTTCTTTATTAGCAGGCCATAAAAAAATGACTGTTGGCTTCATGAACTAAAAAAGTAGTTGAAAATTTTGAGCAGATACAAAAAAGAATAATTGGTTCTTTCCAGTAATTATTTTTCTTTCCATTCATAGCTGCCTTAGTACAGTTTTAAAATTTTGTGGCATCTATGGTTTTCTATATATAGTCTAAAATTCTTAACATGGCTAACAACAAACTCCAATACACAAATATCTGTAGGTCTGTGTAGCAGCAATCCAGATGGACTGTATCTGAATAAAAAAAAAATCAATAGTTTGTGCACCCGAACCACAGGAGCTTCGTGAAGGAGTCAGGTTTTAGAGGCATGATGGCAACTAACACAGGTAGAAAATGCACTAGTACTGATAGGCACTTAGCTCATCATTTAACCATAAAGGATACTGAAGAAGAAACCCTACGACCTCCAAGCCCAGTGAAGTGAAAGTATAAGTTATCAATGGTTTACTGAATGAATATAGAGTTATTAAGTTAAAAATATACTTATTCATTATTTTTTTTCAGGACAATCTGACACTGATCTTTTATGAAATTATACTAGATTCTGTGTGTGGTTTCACTCCTTAAAAGGGAGAAAAAAAAAAGGAGAAAAAAGTGTACTGGTATATAATGCAGCTTGCTTTTTCTTACCTATCCACTCTCTCTCTCTCTCTCTCTAAAATGAAAGAGAAAATATGTGTATGTATTCCATTATTATGGATAACAGGATACAACCCACTGTAAAAATAAAAACAAGAAACACCCATTTAACATAATTTTTGGTCTTATATGAATTCAATATGATGATTAGACCAGTAATAACTATTTCATGCTGTGAAAAAAAATTCCCACTCATAATCAAATGTATTCCAATTCCTAATCCTATAAATCACTAATTGTACATTCATATTCAACAACTTACTAAATTGCACACATACAAGAACACAAGTCAATAATGCTGCAAATACATAAATGGAAATAACTGTAATGTCTCACACTTATTGTCAACTTCACTCTGAAGAGGTTAACAGGTGTTTTTTTTACTCTTGTTTTTCTTCTACCAACCTTTTCTATAAATTATTGTTTACCTAGTTACAGCTTATATATATTTTCAGTTCAGAATCACAAATTTCTCATTGACATTCAATAAATAACAATAATTAGAGTTGAAAAAATTGTACATTGTAAATACACCATACCCACAATATACAGTGTACAGAAGAGAGGTGATTTTTAGAAAGTCATATATAACTGTTAACACCACAAATTTTCTTCTCTTTTGATAATACAAATACAATATCAAGTCCGTAGAGTAAAATGGAATCAATTTCCAGTAAAATACCAATAATTCATTCTTCTTGTATGTGTTTCCAAGGCATGATATCTTTGCATAAAATTGTGTGATCATTCTTGCTAAAATTTGAAGGAAAAAAAATCCCAAACATAAACATATATCTATATTTATGAAAATAAAGAAATGAGCAAATAAATAAAGGAAAAGAAAAAGGAAAAGCCTATGATAAAACAAAGTTGCTCTTCCTTTGTTACAGCATCTAAAATAAAGTCCTTTTTTTCAGTCTTATTGTAAACTTTGCCATAAGGGATAAAATTCTTTTCATTTACAATCTCAATGAAGTAAAGGATAACTTCTGTTGCATGTCAACACTGCATAAGAGTCAGTACAAACACAGAGAAATAAACATTTTATAATCGTTTTTATAGTTTATATCCACAGCTTAATCACCGGGCTAAGAACCACTGTCTACACACTGCACATACACATCTCTTTGTCCCATTTCCCATTTCTAGTATTTAACATAAAAACCTCCATAAATGAAACCTTCTTCCCTGCTTCATTCTAGCGAAGATGAATCATGCAACCAATGAGGGTAATGTTTATGAGAGCTTATGTGACCAACATGATGATAAAGGGGCCTGAAGGATGCTAGAGAATCTGAGGTTCTGAGAAACACACAACACCGGGCAGGAGAACAGGAGGCTGAGTGGTCCTCTGAAATAGCTGAGAGGGGACAAATAAGGTAGATTAGAAATTAGAAACTTTTTTTCAACTTTCTCTTGATCTTTCTCATTGAATCTGCTTATGAATGGTATATTTCTCAGGAGATACTTGTTTCACCAATTAGGATAAACTGTTCCTTTCCAAAAAATCAATATTGCAGCAACAACTTTGAACTGAAGAAGAAGAAAGCTAACATGTATCTAAATGTAAAAATTCAGCTACACATGAAGGTTCTTACAAATACAGTATGTATATACATACTTAAATTTGCATATTAACTCCTAAAAAGACATTTAAGCCTTATAACACCTTCCATCTTACCTCATCAAGGAAATGAAGTAACACCTGGTAATACCCAGGACACTTCCAGGTTTCATTATGCGAGCCCTGTGTGAACTGCATGAGACGTTTGGCCGGTGATGCACAACAATGGTACAACTCCATCATCATGCGTGGAGGTACCAGTGAGTCTGCCTGGCCTGAGAGGAATAACGTTGGCACAACCACTCTACACATCTTGTATTTTGACAGGTACTGTAAGCCAAGTGGACAGGTGAGACCAGTTATTAGATACTTTGAATTGCAGCAGCACATGATAGTACTTCTATTAAGAAAACTTCTATGGAAGTCCTAGCTTTTCATTAGAGGTTTCGTTTTTCATTAACATAGATCATCAACCCCCCCCCCCCAAAAAAAAAAAAAAAAAAAAAAAAAAAGAGGGACATGAACATACAACTCCCTGCCCTTTTCCTATTTTGAGCATAAAACCAACCAACACCAATGACAATGATGGTGATTGATGATAATGAGGAGGAGGACTGCTACTATTGAAGATAATGGATAGTTTGACTGTAATGACAATGATGAAAGCAACGTCAACAACAATGATAAAAGATTATTCCTTCCACAACTCTTACCTTATTCTTGTGACACCACTCAGGCAACTTCGCCAGGAACTTAACGTTAGAGAAG